TGTTCGAGTTCAAAGTTAGCCATAACTGAAGACAGGATATGGAGGTTTCCTAAAATGGTGGTCCCTCCAAATCATCCATTTTTATAGGAATGTCCCATTTTGGGGATCCCCCATTTCAAGAACCCCCCCGATATCAGTCATCACTGTGTTTTCTCGATGACATAGACCCGGCTGATTGGCGCGGTCGGCAATTGACCCTTAACTCCACAACTTGGGCGGTACATCCATGGTTCAGAACCTGGTGTTCGCTAGTTAGAACCCTCGCAAACATCAGAAACAAGTTATGGAAGCAACAGGAATTGGGATGTAAGCAACAACTTATGCTATCAGTGATAACAGGGAAATTCACCAAGGATCCTGCAGCCCTGAATCCCTCAAAGGGATTACTGGTTGAAAACACCAAGCAACCATTCGCTGCTTCCATCCCTCCGGCAGCTTACCTGCAAGCTGCCATATTACATCGTTTCATGGAGGTGACATTGCACTGCTTCAAAATTGTGAGGCTAGACGGTCAGAAATGAAATGAAGAAATTAATATTGAAAACAAGAAGAAAGGTGCGTCATTAATAGCTCAAGAATAAAATGCCTCAAACTATGTTCTCGCTACCTGCATTTAATGATATCTATACAACGAATGATTTTGCTGGCAACATATGTGTACATAATGCGCACAAGCATCTTGACAACCGTAGACGATAGACACATCATAGACACATCTACAGCAGGGGACGTCCATTACGGGAGAAGATGCCTTTAGGCCCCTCCCAGGGCTCTCGCCAAAGCACTCTGCCATCGTTGTCGAGGAAAGGGACAGCTCTGGTTTCCAACCGATGGGAGGCCGTCCACATTTACCTGGGACAAGTCCCCTTGGGATGGCACGGCACTAAGCTGGTTGGTGGTTGAGCTACCTACCCCTCTGAAAAATGATGGACTTCGTCAGTTGGGGTTACTATTCAATTCCCAATATGATGGGAAAAATAAAATTAATGTTCTTGACCACCAACCAGTAAAGGTATTTACCCATACATCTAGAACATTCTACAACCGTACACAACCACCTGCTGCACCTGCACGCTTTGTACATGTTTCCTGCAGGTCATGACAAATCTCTGACAAAGAAAAGAATCAATGGTGGTTTCCTAAAATGGGGGTACCCCCAAATTATCCTTTTATAGATGGTTTTTATAGATGGTTTTTCCATTGTAATACTGTAAACCATGCATTTTGGGGATCCCTATGGAAATCCCCCTTTGGTGGTGCATAGTCTGGCGCTGACGCAGGGCCTGCAGATAGTCCTCCGTCGTCTTTATGGCTTGAAGTGAGAGGTCTACGGCCACCGATTGATTGACACTGGGCGAGCGGGCGAGTCAACCTTGCTATCTTCAGTCGGACTTAGGCAGACTTACCCCGCAAAAAAAAAACAATTTAGCCAATTTGAAGCAAGAATCAGAATATGATATATATATGATATTAAACCATGGAGTTTTTTTGGGTTTCAAATGTTCCGACAAACCCACATTGTGTGGTAATTACGCTAAACTCAAGAATAAACTATAGCCGAATTGCTTCATTTTACCTTGGGACAATCAGGTGTTCATTGTTGAATTTACCACGCTAAGAGAATTCCTGCAAAAAGCGCCCCTTTTCCACCTTTCCGGTGGTCGACTGGTGAATACAGCCAGCTAAAACAGGGATACATGTTGGCTTGGCATCATGGATCCAAAGAAGTAGTAAAATGAGACAAGAGATCATGACACCTTCTTTGGATCCATGATACTGCTTAGTACTGCTTTGGTACCGCACATATTATATATATAACATTATATAACTACCTAGTCAAAGTTCTCAGCAGTTTTGGAACCCACATTCCCACACCACCTTGGCAAAACCCTCTGGTTGTAAATATTTACATCCACTCAACTGTCTTGAATGCATTTACATCAAATCATATGAATTTTATGTTTGAATGCTTGTTATTTCAATCCATTTATATACATGTGTTCTTTTAATGTTTTGCAGGTGCTGTCAAAAAACCTGGATAAAAAACATTGCCATCTCTCCAAGTTCAACGCCAGGTGCACCGGGAGTGCTGATGGGCAATTTCTATCAATTTTTCATAGCGCTATGCTAGTTTTCCAGAGGGTAACTCAGAAAGTGCAATCATCCGAAGAAATGTAAGAAATCATATGAGTTTGGATGACAAAATCCCCGATGGATAGTATTGGAGCCTGATATCTCAATGCTACCGATGTATTGCTTATTAATTATCCCACTTCATCTATGGAATATTTCGCTACATTTGGGTATAAAACATTGGTCGTAAATGCTGGTAAATATTCCAGCACCATGGAGCATATGGTTATATGATACACATGGGTTAGTCATGGTTATCTTATTGCTTCAATCTCCAACTTTGGCACAACCCGAACCGGAGCAGGCTGGTTTTTTTAATCCCGAACTGGAGCTCGTGAACTCACGGCCCCAACGTTGGGCAATTTCTGATCACTTGAATAAATGTCCATCTTCATTGATATTATGACCCAATCTTTGTGGCTACAACCAATCGGTTTACCTCGGTACATCCCCCCTTCTCGGGATGGTCAATGGTCAACATCAGGAAGCTTCTCTGGTTGGTGGGGGCTACCTACCCCTCTGAAAAATGATGGACTGAAAGTCAGTATGTCAGTGATGATGAAATTCCCAACTGTTTCTGGAAAGTCATTCAAAATTCCATGGTTCCAAACCACCAACCAGATATTATGTTTGGTGGTTACTCTCCAGAAAACTCGCAAGAAAAATGTACAATTCATGAACATCCACCGTGTTTTAGCTAATGTTCGGAAAACTAATGGATTTCCGTATCTATGCTAGTCTACCGGATCCTTCAGAATTACTATTTGAGTTTGTGTGAAAATCAAGTACCCCAAAATTTGCTAGTTTATCATGTTCCTTATTCAATCCTATTCAATTGCCATTTTAATCTTTGCTGCATCCCTTTCAAACACCCCAAAATCATAGTATGTTGTTATAATTAATGATAAGTACCATCATTATATCCAATATATATATATATACACATACAGTTTTCATGGTAAAATCCACATGTGTTCATGGTAAAACCAGTATGATGAAAAATCTCTAGCAATGGGAAATTCACTGTTTGAATAGTAACCCACTTTCATTGTACTTTTTTGGCAACATTCATCTACCATTTGCGGCAAACCCTCTGGTAATCAGACATGGTGGCTGCTTGAAAATCTCCCATCTAGCTCAAGGATTTTCCCATTCAAACCTCCATTTTTTGTTTGGGCATTTCCCAGCTTGCCACCTTTCCCAAATGAGTATCAATTAATTAGTTATACATCCCATTATATTCCAAGATGTTTGTTTCATTGAATCCCCATTAAGTCCCATTAAACCACCATTTCTAAAGATTCTTTGGGGGTTTCCTAAAATGGTGATACCCCCCAAAAAAAATCATTTTCTTCTCGATTTTCCATAAACCATCCAGCTATTGGGGTACCCCCACGACTATGGACACCCATTTAGAAGTGGTTAATTCCATTATTCACCACATGTATGGAATATGTTATTAACCACAAAAATCGCCATTCAATCCTCAATTAAGTATCGTTAAGTCCCATTCAACCACCATTGAAAGTGCTAAATCACCATTGCAAATCAGCCCTTCTCCGCCGAAGATCTCTGGCAAATCTACCGATGCAGAGAGATTCATCTTCTGCAAGGACTCCGCCAAGCTGGTCTTCACGGCCGCCTCCGAAACTTCGGCGGCAATCCATGTGGGTAACGGGTAATCCCAGTGGGAAAGCTCAAGAAATCCATGCTCGCCGTATGCTCCAATTGATGGAATAACTACATTTGGGACATTTTGCTCGCAAATATTGGTGAACATATTCCAACACCATGGAGCATATGGGTTAAACTCACCTTCAAAATCCATAGAAATCTCAAGAAAGCCATGAAAACACGCGTGAAATGGTGAGATGGAATCGAACATGGAAGTATAGCCGGCCATGACCACGGGGAAATCATCGTAAACATGTGAGGCTTCACCAGCAAAATATGGCCAATCTTAGATATCCCGCTGAATTACTTTACTTCGAGTGATCCCCACCCTGACACACTATTCTGACGTAGTTTCAGTTTCTGACATACCATATGGACATATGTATATATATATACTGTATATATTCTGACATTCTTTCTGGCATATACTCTGACATTGGATCTGACATTATTTCTGGCATTCTCTCTGGCATGTGTTTGGGTCCCGGCGTGGCCCACAGCCGGAAGGGAGCTGGCGATATGATGTTGGGGTCCCGGCCCAGGCGAAGCCCACAGGAAGTGAGGGAGTGAGGCATGAGGAGTTGCACCTTTGCTAAAATCTAGAGACCCTCACTGGGTAGGTGGTCAAAAATATTGAGCGATCAGTACAGTTTATAGACACCCATTAATATATATATATATATATTCTATACTGTGTATGTATATATATATATGTATATGCATATACTTATGTACACATTATACTGAAGTACCCAAGTTACCATGCGTTCCCTAGAAAATAGGAATGTATATAGCCAATAGCACAGGTTTCTTCAAGGTGTTCCAAATTGATTTGATCGGGTCATGGTCCCAATTACCGCATTTACAAATAACAGGAGTGGGGCCCACCAGTATGATGAATGATGTGAGTCAACGGTATATCCAATTTCATGCGAATACTTTGCCATTAAGATGTTTTGATAAATTAATAATGCAGTCAACCAATTTCAGAGTAGTTACCGGCAAACAAAAGAGCAAATATTCACCCGTCAAACCCTGATGTACAACCACGTCAAGAGCAAGAAGCACTCATGCTTTTCAAATAGGGGTACAGTTGTTTTGTTTACCGGAGAGGATGCAACAACATAAAGCTCAAAAACTGTGGGACACGAAGGAAAGTCAGTGTCCAATATGGGGGACCGTACAGGAGCCTGTGTCAATAATGATGTCTTGTTTCTCAACTATAGCTTCAATACAAAAATATGAACCGAGATATTTGGGACCTCGATTCATGTACTCCGTAATTTGTTTTCTGGTTGGTGGTTTTAACCATCTTGAAAAATATTAGTCAATGGGAAGGATTATCCCATATATTAATATATATTATGGAAAATACAAAATGTTCCAAACCATCAACCAGTTTTTGTTCCCAAATCAATCCAAATCATGGTGCACGATGAAAAAACATCTTGGCTTCGCCTCCACGTTGGACTTGATGGTTTTGGCGGCCAAATCCTGTCGCCAGAGATGCCGCAGGCTCCCGAGAATCAAACGTGGCAATGGAAAACCGACCAATTTAGCGGGAATTGCCCATGACAATCCCATTGAAATATATATATATTAAAACTGTAGCCATTCCCATTGCCACGTTTGATTGCCAGAGGGTTGTCATCAATGATCCAAGTAGCGCGGACCTAGTCCGTCGCCGATAAAAATCAGGTTCCGAATGGAGCATGGAAATCACAAGATCGCCATATCAAATCATGAACCAACCCAATAATGTCCTTTTGGTAAAAATATCTGGGTAAATTAAAATATATTTCACTAACCTGAATTGTTAGGCAAAATTTGGGGATGATTCCCCTGACTAACCATTATTCCCAGTGAGGGAGAACAGTGAGGTCGTTATAATTTACCGAGAAATATGTAAAAATAGAGGGGCCGCGAGCTGGTATACCATCTATCATCATAGAAACCTGTTGTTAAAGGGGTTTCTTCAAACCCCTCTATTAATCAACCAACCAATGGGAAAAGGACATCTATGAACCAACCTTTCAGGCCGTTTTTGGTGGATTCCCACCAGTGTCTCAATCATCTTGGGTGGTCATGAATGATGCAAAAAATACCTGTCCTATTATTATGATCTGATGCTGTCCCCTCTGAGCTTCACCATTCATCTGTTTCTTTTTATACAAAAATCCAGTTTTCGAAGAAAAACAAGACAAACCAGGAAGACCACGTGAGAATTTTGGTAGTCAGAAGTCTTGACAAACAAGTCTTGAAAGCATTGAAGATGTTCAACACGTTTGGGAGAAATTTGGTCACTGCTCACAAAATATGATTTTGACGTGCCTCAACTTCCAACTGCTTGGTTTTCCACTAGTTTGATCAGTTTTGACCCAAGAATTCTCCATAAGACGTCCCCATCATCAGCATTGACCCAAACATCCAACGCATACCGCGGGGTAGTCCTCTAAGTAGGATTCGAACAGGAAAGCCGCTGCATTCATCAGCCAGTGAATGCTGGTGCCTGCGCTCGGAGCGAAAGACATCACCCATTGGGCGTTGGGACAGTGGTAAGTTTTGCCTCAAAATTAAAGTACCCTCTGGTGAACTAACATAGCAATGGAAAATCACCATGCTATTAATGGGAAAATCCACTATTTCTATGGCCATTTTCAATTGCTATGTTAGTTCACCAGAGGGTACTCAAAAATCCAAACACATTGCATATCATCAGTGTGTTCAAGTACAAGAACAAAAAAAAACGGGGTACACCCCCATGTCTAAACAGGATCCGCATTTAGTGTGGAAAAACCCAAAGAACATGACTGGAACTGTGCAGAACTTACCAAGTAAGATATGAACAACGAGTGAAGCGAACATGGTACATACTACCATAACTTTCAGAATAGATGAACCAACAATGTACATACATGTACATGATGATTGATCACCAAGTCCAACGCCAGACTGCAAAGATGAACCACATTCACAAGTCGCAATGGTAGATCCGCTGCCCGAACTAAATTGATTGGCTTGATCAGCTTGACTTCTCACTGGTACAAGAATGGTCTGTGAATATATTGGAGATCTTCGCTTTACCCACAGCCATGCTGAAAGGCAAGTTTCCTGATGACCGCCGGAAAAGATGATGTTCACAAAATGCTCCTTTGCCATAGAAATTTACTCTGCATAGACCTGAACCTTCATGCTAGACATAACACTTGGTAAACGTCTCAAACCTGTTGGATAAGAATACGCCCTGATGAGCTTATTGTTGCAGTCTAGGTACCAGTTTCTCCGATTTAACCATTGAACAACGACAACCACATGCGCTTCAACCGCCATTTTCTTGGTGAAGTCATGGACCATGACCCCTTATTAACTCAGCCTGAGAAGGTGATGGGGCCAAGCTCTAAGTTCACGTTCAAATCACTCACTTCCACCTGCAGAGCGGCCAAGCGCTGCTTGTAAAATAACAAAGAAACTCGTGGGAAGTGCAAAGATGATCATTTTTGGACCTCTAACTGGCTTTGCTGAGGAGTAGAAGCCGGAGCGGTTCTGTTTACCACCAGAAGAATCACTGGACGAATCTCTCAGATTGACAAATCTTCCCATATCTTCCCGGCCAGTCTGGGGGGTCTCAGGCCAGCATCCTCAGGGTACCAACCACCAATCGTTGGGGCATTGGGGTACCCCTGGTTCCTTGATTTTCCTTGACCATACAGCACATATACCCATGGCGTGTGTTTTGACCAGAAGCCGCCACCCAGTCCAAGATGGTTCAAACACTTTTCTCAAAAATCCTGATTCGATCAGCCAGAATCCCACAAAAATCGGAATGGTTCAGATGATCATTGTTTTTGACAAGGTCTTTCACAAAACCTCTTCTCTCACATGGTTATTTTTTCATATTTTTTCAACCTTTGTCACGCTTACGGACTCTTAACCCATCGTTTTCGGATGATTTCGGTCTCTAAATCCCATGACTTCATAGGGTTTATTGATGTTTATTGATGTTTATTGTCTATTTCAGATGATTATTTCCATGTCACAAAACAATGGTATCTTTTTATGAAGCAAAAATAAATCCTGTGACACCGCGCCTGAGGACGTCTCGACAAGGCCTTCAGGCCGAGGTCGGCACAAAGCTGACCATCCTGAGAGGAGAATGACGGGGCAAGGTCAGAAGTCATGAGAGTTCGAATGATTGTCATGTGATATACTGACGAGAAATAACCAATGATATGATCTTAAAAATTGTATATAAAATAGGCTATACAAATTCAATAATTCAATTTAATTTAATATGATGAACACACACACATATCTGGGCAAAACATATTGTTATATTTCACTGACCTGAAATAAGGCCATTTGGGGGATAATTTCCCTTATTAACCATGATTCCAGGTTTCGGTCACAGTGAGGTTGCTATAGTTCACCCAACATATAGAATCATATAGATAGGTGCAGTACATAGAGTAATCAATGTCATACAATCATATGGTGAATTCTTAAAATGGAGGATCCCCAGAAGCAAAAGTCTCAATACTAAGATAGTCATCCATGACTTGGATCATTTGGTACCCCCATGACACAGGAAACCTCCAAACGTATGTATATTATGTATATATAATACTATACATATATACATACTATATATATATATTATACTTATACATTATTATACATAAGATTTGTTGTTGTTCTTGTTATCTTTTGTGGCTCTCTCCCCCTTGGTTTACTCCGCCGAGGGGCTGTGACCAGCACACTGGTGCCTCCATTAAGAGACAGGAAGTACCATTCCGCACTCCAGTCCTGGTGGGCGGAAAAATGGGTGAATTTACTGCTCCAAATAGTTGGGATCAAGAGTTATTCGAACAAAATCAAACATGTGGATATAATTTCTGGACATCTTATACATTATGATACTATTTACTCATCTGAAATAGTGCGGCTATCCTTGGGATAGTTACCCCAACCACGGAACAGAAAATCAATTCCAGGTCTCACTAGGATGCATTTCTGGACATCATTCCCATGGCTGGGAAATGCCTGAACGTTTCATTCTCCACCGGAAAATCATGGAACTAAATGGGCATTTCCCAGCTAGTCATGTTTGAGTATTCTCAGTACCCAGGGGTGATTCTCAGTATAAAAACATCTAGAATCTATATCGAGTTATTTTTTGGGGGATATCTTTCTTGGCGCAGGGTGAAATGGCGCAACCTGGTAACTCCCCCAGGAAATTGGTGGATCATCATTGAGCTAGTGGTTAGCTGATTGAGGGGTCATCCAACCCTGTGCGCCCATAGGGGAGGGTTGTGATTATATCACCAACCTCAGCGAAGCCTTCTTTTTGAGGTTCCCCCAAGAAATGCGAGTATCTTGTAACGGAGGCCTGTCGATTGAGGCGATTATGATCTGCCTTGAACTCCACGCGGCTGCTAACAGTATTGCCAAATAGTGGCCAATGAAATCCAATGAACATGCTTTCCAGGATGGTTTCCATAGTAGGATTCTTTTGACAATGGTTTTTTGAATTCCTTTGCTAATGTCTATCTTTATCCAGACCCAACTGGAGGCTTAATGACCCATTTCTTATGGATTTTGCCTGTTTCCAGACACAATTCCCCATATGATTGCTGAACATGTGTGGTTAAATCAATCCACATTTCGAAAGTAAACATCACCCAGTTGCCATATCAATCATTCATTCATATGATCATAATATGGGGTCCCAAGTCATAGGGGTATCCCAATCCCCATGATACCATCTATTTAAAATGTTTTTTTCCATGATAAACCATCCATTTGGGGATACCCCCATGACTATGAAATCTATGAAGCCCGCCAAGAAAAATCATATCTCTGACTGCAACGCGAGGAGCCGAAGTGACATTGGCCCAAATGCCCGACAAGCACAGCCTTGAGCAACTTGACGAGATTTTCCGGAATCAACTTGTGGGGTCCAGTAATGATGGCTTAGAGCTTGGAAAATCATCTATTAATGGCTGGTGTTCAATTGCCATGTTTGATCACCGGAGGGTATAAGATTGTATATATATATATACGCATATATATATATATACAACTAGGAACAAATTGGGTCCTGGCCAACAACATTAGGTTGGAACTTAATCAAACTGAATCAGGCAAAATATTGTTTCACCCCCATTAGTCATTTGTTTTCGACCCAGAAAGATATCATCACAGAACGCTCAATATTCGATTCCTAATCTGGATGTCTAAAAAATATTTCTGGCTCAACGTTGAAGAAATACACCAAAATGACACTCAAATGCAGTATTTCTTAGGACTTTGGAGTGGTTTCAGTGGTTTCCATTCTGGTGTCTGAAAATACGGTACCATACGGTACCCCATTCCCATTCCACTGGGCCTAAAAATGAAACGACCTGTGTCCCACCAAACGTCTGGAGACGACTGGAGAACCATCTCCCCGGCAGTTTTTCGTCATGGATGATGACAAATATGCATAGATCATTATTGTGGATTAGATACTTCACTGAGGTGTAAATAAAGAGGCTTTTAGCCAATCATATCTATCATATCCAAAAATAAAACAGTCCCAGTGATTGTTGGCTACACCCTGATTTCGGATGATGGAAACTGACACATCAAATGGTTGGATGTTGGGACGCAATGAGCGTGCAGGAGAACGGCACCCAAGGGGCCGTTTCGTGATTCCTGGTGTTTGAGATTTGCTCACAGGGAACACCCAGAAGTGACAACTTTCTCTGGTTTTGAGAGGAACATAGGCTACATGCGAGGAAATTTAAGGCTACAATCCTCAGTAGTTTGAACATAGCAGACCTTAAAATGCTGATCATTTCAACTTGTTTCAAGAAAATGCTGATCTCAATTTTGACTCTCAGGATCCCAGTGGGAGAGCCAAGTGACTGTACACCCTTGTCTTTTCTGAACTCAATACCTTGCACAACCAGCGTGATGTGAGCAGGGGCCAACAAATTCCGCAGAGAGAAACTCTTAGTGGTACGTCTCATAGTGTGTTAAATCCTATGAACTCCAAAACTGTATTTTGTAGTATAGGTAGCATTTTGAATCACAGACTAAAGTACAGTTTGATACCAGGCATATGGTTCAAATTGGCTCAAACATGGGATTGCCTATTGAAGATAACCAATCTTTTGGGCTCACGAGTCACGAGTATCCCATTTTTGAGACATGGCCACATGCTTGCCAGGACAGACGGTTTTAAAGTTTGCGACATGCTCATGTGGTCCACAAAGAACATTGCGAATCATTGAAATAAGATGACTAATATACAATCCATGACTGTGTCCCAACCTTCCACATAGCAGCCAAAACAAGTATGTTGATCTTGCAATCTTCGGAATAGCTACCTCTACACAACTTCACATCTTCAAATTTGATCTGAGCATATCGCCTGGGTGCACCTTTCAAGGTCTCGCCAAGGTGCTAGGTGTCTTGATACCCACGTGGTTCAGATCAACATCCCACAGTCCTTGGATGGGCTGGTTGTTGCTCATTGCTGTGAGGCTGCTGACTGGTTGGGCTGGTTGGGCTGGCTGCTGTCAGGCAATTCATCTCATTTTAAAAGATAGGTTCATTGTGGTCTGTGTTCGACTTTCACGAAAAACTCGCACATGTCGCACATGCTGGAGGTATCAAAGACTAAACATGGATCTTCAGTATTAAGATAATTCAAGTTCATTGGTGTCCTCAAAAGTGGAAACATAACATATTCAGATATTTAAAGACATAGATTAAGAGAGATTAAGAAGTCCCCCAAGCTGGCAAGACATCCAAATGGGATGCTTCCCATCCTCCTTTCACCCTGGACCATCCTGGGCCACGGCGACGCCGGGTCTCGGTATTGGACGCCTTTGTAGCTGCCGCTGAAACTTCCCAGGGGCACCTTCGTAAGATTCTGCAGCACTTGTGGCAGCAGCTCCTGCCACGAAGATCTCCAAGGGGCTTCGCAGAGGCGCTGGAAATCACATGAAATGACGCCAAAAGATATATTTAATATTGTGTATAGATATAACTACAACATACTATAACTATATATATATAATTATATATATATAATTATATATATTTATTTTTTTAAAAAATATATATATATATAATTAAAATTATATATAATTATTTAAGATTAGTTAAGAATCTGAACGAAACCAACGGCAATCATGACATTTAGGACAGGGAATTGTATCACTGAATCATACATTTACGGGAAAGAGTATCACGGTATCACCTAATCAGTTCACGGAGGTTAAAAGGATTATAATCCAACATGGCAACGTCACATTCCCATGTTTCTGAGTAGATCGTCATTTCAGTTGTTAAAATTGGCACGCTTCACTGTGACATACTGTGACCATGTATACAAAATTCTTGCACACATCCGCAAGATCCCATCCAATATTCCAACATCGGATGTTCCCAGCCATGTAGCTGGTGAAATCGCTAGAAATGTTTGCTTTTTTGCTTGAAGCCTCACTACACATAAACAGAAAATACTTAGATAACCATCTGGGTATGGGTCGAAATTATAGATATCCCTAAAACTGGATGGTCATATAATACCATATAATACCTAAAGATGAACAGGATCTAATTTTGAGCCATTCCCATATCAACATATCTTGGGCCATCCCCACATTCTCCATCGCCTGAGCCACGTAATTCAGCGCCAGCTTAGACATCCACAGTTCAGCTCCACCATCACTGCTGACACTGGTGGCAACAGCGCTGCGGCTTGATGGCGCTTCCTTGCTACCTGGGAAGGAGGGGCCGGAGGGGTCGGGGAGTTGAAGCAAAAATAACGTGAAGCCCAAACTTGGCCAAGGTTAGATATGTCCAGTCATGTCCAGTCTATTGAAAATCAGGTTTAAGAGCCAGGGCCTGGTATGTGTGAGGATTACGTGCTAGGTTTCAGATGTTTCAGGGCTTCAAATGTGGCTTCGTCCCCAGCAGTGGGAGAAAGTGCAGCTGCAATAAATGCATACCGTGCTGCATCGCAAAGAAATCCATTCTCTTGAACTATGGGGTGCTCACAGGAGGGAGCAAGTTACCTCTGCAAATAATGATTGTATGACAATGTATGACAGTATGTTGTAAATTCTGGCAAGTAGACATTGCACGGAAATCTTAAGGTTCAAAAGGTGTGAATGTTCTAAGAAGGGGGAATTTTCTCAATTTTTGACAGTCAAGTAGTTCTGGTTTAAGATGATCGCAACATAATTACCAAACCTACTCCAGCAGCTGACCTACGGTCGGCTGAAGGGTGGCCTTGGGGAACAAAGGCGCTGGTCATTTCAACCACGGAAACCTATAAGCAAATTACCTCGCAATGGGTTGAAAGATACCATTGAATCCTCAAGAAAGTCCCAGGAAGCGAACATACAATGGGCGTGCGGTTTCAAATCTATGGAAAAATTAGATTGGAATAGAATCGACTGGAATAGTCTATAGACTAGATTGGATTAGGCTAGATTTGATTAGATTACAATAGATCGATAGATACTCCCCCAGTAAATGTAGTAAATCATTCCGGAATGACTGAAAAATCACTGCACCCCCAAAACATGGAACGGTTTACTCGACATGTTCAACTGTGATTCCGGCGAATCTTCCGGCCTTGGGATTGAAGCTTCAAGGCCTTGGTCGCTGCTCCGAAGTGGCTGCTCGTCAACGGGCTTATATAAGTGGTGTTCATCCACTTGTAAAACCCTACTGAATTGGAACTTTGCTAAATGATGACCCTCCAAGTAAGTTTCTTACTGTATTTTCGATTTTTTTTTGATAGACCCTCCAAGTACAGCGAATCTATAAAAATAGGTACACATCCCAAAATAATGGGTATATTACCCTAGTTCTCTACGGACTTGAAGAGTCTAAGTCTAGACTCAAGATTTACCTTTATCATTGGATCTAATTTTGCTTGTGCATTTTGAATACCAGCAGATTGAAACCAAAACCTTCATGGTTGATATCAGTTTCTGGTCATTTGAAGCCATGGATTCATCCAAGATATCCAAGGCTTAAGACTTCCGTCTGGATCCGACTTTGCAGAGAACCAGAGGCCAGAAAAAAATCGGGATACTCAACGGCTGGACCACCCACATGTGTTTGAATTTTACATAAGTTTACCAAATCATCAAGGCCATGCAGTTTGAAACCCTTAATAAATATTGACTAATATTGACTAATACCTCACAAGCATGATATCAAGTATTCCCCAGTTTGCGGCTCAAAACGGCGAATACCTACTTCACCAGTTGGTTTACCCAGAAACTGGGATCTCAACCAATGCCCCACCGACGGACCCAGCTTGCGTACGAAAGAATGGTTGCACAAGCTCCAAAAGTTGCTTGTGAACCACTTGTAATATCTTGTAATCTGGTAAACCATGGTCTCAATCTGGTGAATCTGGTTAATCTGGTTAACAACTAATAGTAACTATAGGTTCCTTATAACATCCTGGTAAACCATGGTTGATTACACCTATGTTCATCCCATCGCCCCATACCAGGGCGATATAACCTCTACAATGGATAAATCAATGTGGTAACCACACTGCCATCACTACGAAAATACCATGTTTACTCAATACTAAACCAGTTGTTTCGCGAAATCACCATGCATAGAAGAGTTTATGGCGGATTGTGACGCTGGGTCTACCATCGCAAATTGACATATGGGTTTTCAAAGAGAAATACCACCATCGAATCGCATCCAATTCTACTGGCTGGTCAACAGCCGTAGTTTTGCAATTTCTGTTAAACCAGGTGGTACACCACACTATTTCATTATCAACCAATACACTCTACACATGTATTTAAACAGTTTTGTCAAAAGAAACTAAACTAGTGACTGACATATTCTCATATTCATTATTCTTCTTCAGAAAATTATAGGCTCAGAATTACAGTACAAAAATTGGGATATTCTAGGACCCAATTTTGGGGTTTGTCCCCTATATTCATCCATATTCTAGATGATTAATCAATAGAAAAATAATGGTTAATCATTTACCCTCTGGTTATTTAACATAGCCATGGAATAGATGGCCCATTTATAGATGGTTTACCTATTAAACATGGTGGATCTTTCCATGGCGAACTCTTAAATAACCAGATGGTAAATTGAATGGTGGGGATTTCATGGGAGTTAACTGAGTTAACCATAGTTAACCATGGTCAATCCTTAAATTGTCCCCATGAAAATTGCCATTTCAGGGACGTACTGGGCTCCCCCACCCGCGCTTGAAGGAATCGTGGGGGCTCCTCCGGCTCCACTGGCTCCGGACCCACAGTCTCCACCGGCTCCACAGCGTCGGCAGAGGCAAGAGACCTTTGGGCTGTGGAAGTTCCTGTGGAGATTTCTGGAAAATCAATGGATGAATTAGTTTAATTTAGTCGAAGGAAGTTTAGAAGTCAAACTTCCGACAATATGGACAGATGAAAAGCAGAGCAGGGCAGAGGCAGAGAGAAGAGGAATATGGTAAAGAGAGAAATCAGCAAAAAGAAAAGAGTCGGAAGAAGCATGCATAAGTGGGTGACTCAAGAAAATGTGAATATTAGGCCCTAGAAGAGAAATCGCGGACACAAACTGTGTTTTTGCCAATGATTTTGTGGTGCTCCGGAGGGGTCGAAAAGTAGTGCTCGCTAAAGCGGCTGGTGTGGAGCCAGCTGGCCACAGGAGCGATGAAAAATTGCACGCCGTTGTGGCGCGAAGCACATTTCGAAGTCAAAAGGTACAAAACACCTCAGCGTCGGACGACTTTTGGAAGTTGAGATGTCGAAACAGTGCACGCAGTTGTGGCGCGAAGCACATTTCCAAGTCAAAATGTACAAAACAAACCAGGTTCGGACCACTTTTGGAAGTTGAGATGTCGAAAAAGTGCACGCCGTTGTGGCGCGAAGCACATTTCCAAGTCAAAATGTACAAAACCCACCATGCTCGGACCACTTTTGGAACGTTGGATGTCTAGGAAAGTCGGGTGGGGGGGTGGTGCGCGCCACTTAAGTGGCGCGAAGCACATTTCCAAGTCAAAAGTGTTAAAACTGACGGTCTCGGACCACTTTTGGAGGTTCAGATGTCGAAAAAGTGTCGAAAAAGTGCACGCCGTTGTGGCGCGAAGCACATTTCGAAGTCAAAAGTGTAAAAAACTGAGGGTTTTGAGCCTTTTTTGACGTGAAGATGTCGAAAAGGTAGACACTGCTCAACTTAACTAACTTGACTAACTTAACTAACTTCACTAACTTAACTACCCTAACTTCGACGACAACAGCAACAGCAACAGCAACAGCAACAACAACAACAACAACAACCACAACCAATTTCTCCTATAGGTTTCCTATTTTTGAAACTTCCTTTTTTTTATATAATAATATGTTTTTCTTTTATTGCTTTCTTTATTCGTTTGTTTGGGGGTTTTGGAACGTGAGTTTTCAATATGTGTGTGTTTGAAAAATCAACAGTGAGGCATGGAAAAGAACCAGAAGAATCGAAAATGATATGCTAAGAATTGAGAATTATATTATGCTAAACCGGCTCGAAGCAGGCCGGTTTAAGCGGTGGATTCAACTGGCTAAAGATAGGGAAATCAAATCAATCAACATGCACTGCAGCACTGGGGATCCAGCAGCAAGCAATACAGCAAGGTTTTTGCCATGGCCATGTCTCCCTCTGTCACTTTGGACCAGAGTGAGCTCTTGGCGTTCCGCAGCCCCAAAAGATAAACCTGCGACTGGATAAGTCGTTAGGATCAAAGTCAGTAAGAGTTGCCTGCGATCGTCGAATCAGTATGAATCAGTGCACATCTTCACGAAACAAGCTCTGATTGATTTGCCATACTCGGAAATTCTTGGATTAAATGGCCATTCATATAATAGTTATACCAGTTATATAATAGTTATACCCTTTTCATGAGTTGAAGAATTCCTGAATTGTTGGAAAATGATCTGTCCTAATCTACTCATCAATTCCTATCTGCGATCAAACCACTGAGTTGTAAATTCACCTGTGTCAGCCGACGGATGGGGCGCACAACTGCCAGGTGGGGATTTTCATGTTGTACTTGAAAGTGCGTCCCACTTAGAAAGTGGTTCATAACCATTCTTGTAACCCAGACAGATTATGTATCTAACTATAATTGATTATATATACTACACAATCAAGTATAGTTGGTATATATGGTCCCGTGTCCCGTGTTCCCACCCCCCCCCATGGGATGGGGGGTGTATGATGCCCCTGTGGTGGTGTATATACATACAT